CCCCCCCCCTCCCCCCCTCTAAAATCAATTCTCTCCTGGAGATCGTCTTCGTGAGCCTCTCATGGTTTCAGGATAGTTGAAACCCTCTTGAACATTCAGAAAGAGTGAATATGAAATTCTAATCACGAAAGGTGTTCCCCGAGGGGATACATACCTAGAGTTTGTTTTGTGAAGCACGTCAATTCTCTCCTGGGGAGCGTCTTCGTGAGCCTTTTATGGTTTCAGGATAGTTCAAATTCTATGATGTTCCGATTCAATGCTCACCGATGATCTGAGCCATGGGGCAAGTTTGTTTTCCTAAGAATCTTTGTGAACATTTCGAGAGCACATGTTTGAACATTTAAAGTGCATATGAACATATATTTACGAAAGGTCGCCTCCGAGGGGATAAATCACCATGTCGAACATTGCATTTTTGTTCCTGCCTCTCGCGTTCTCTTCTCTTCCCGCTGTCCTACCTTTCGTGTCTCCCTCCTCTCAAGTCAGTTTATAACAGCTAACAGAACATAGAATACACATACCCCCAAAAAATACCGCAAAAAACACAGCAAAATCACTGGCATGTGTTCTTACACCCCTACTCTATATAACCGCTGTGATATGTTCTCGAATGTGTTCCGGCGTCCTTGTTGGCCTGAAGTCTGACATGTGTTCTGACATATGGTCCGGCTTCTGTTCTGACATACTGTATGTTTTGACATGCGTTCTGCCATGTACTCCATCAAGGGTTCAACTTGTTCCGACATATGTTCTGACGTAGATTTTGACATGTGATTTAACATTCTATATGGCAATCATTACGGTGTTCTACCTGGCATATTTTCTGACATCCTTTCTGAATTTGTTTTGGATGTTTTTGGCATATCTGATTGCCATATTTTTTGATATCCGTTTTCTCGCATATTTCTGACCTTCTATTTTGCACATTTTCTGATGTTGTAACTGGCACATCTTCTGACATCCCTTCCGGCATTCTACTCGGCAGATCTTCTGGCATTCTAAGTGGCATATTGGTGCTCCCTATAGTGTTCGGACCCGCGCGAGCGCCCACACCGAGCTGGAGCTCACCACAGTAGTCGTCTCCATCCCCACCGTAATCGTCCCCCAGACTGCTGCGGACCTCGCTGGAGAGGAGATGCGAGGAGGAGGAAGAGGAGCGGAGGGAAGGATATGACACCTTTGTAAACTCTAAGACTAGAGACCCGCACCTGGCTGTGTGGAATGAACCGAACAATATCACGCATCAAACGCAGCCCGAAACATTTACAATGAAAAGATAGCACAGAAGTTCAAAGAAGTGAATCAACATCGAGAGGCACAAACGGTACAACAGAGCCAGCAAAAAATTCAAACAATCGATCGTGAAAAGACAAACAAAAGTGAACAACATGACGTAGACAATATTGTGGGCGGTCGCATTAATTGATCCGAGATGTTGACAGCCATGTTTAGACTCATATTCATATTCTTGTTGACTTTCATGATCGGCAATCGGCATGTTTAAGTTATATAAGTGTATTATATTTAGACAGCATGCTGTGTGTCATACTGGCACTTGAGCTGTTCAACCACCATTGCAGTGGCGGGTTCCTGAATAACCTTTTTCCGGAATGCGTAGCTTAAGCAGCTTAATTAACGGTTCTCGCTAGACTTCTCTGACTAGACTTTTGCTCAGGTGTGTTTGTGAGATCGGACGGTTGGGTCGCCATGCCATTCGGATTTTGGTTTCACCGTTTCACCATTCGTCCTTGTGCGGGGTCCATTTTCAGGGCAGACGTGGAGTTCACGTGAGGTTGCGTGTGACATTTGGTGACGCTGGCTGTTGCTGTGCTATTGGGATGTGCGTTTGAATGGGCGTTCTTTGGAGGCACTTGGCTTGCAAAACCCTTGGCAAGGCTGCGTGATGGCATGTTCTTGTGAGAGTGTGTGACTTCCTCCAAGTCACACGACATTTTTGTTGCGACAATTGGAGGAGTTTAAGTCTTGCACCACTCTCTCGCCTTTGTACCTTACTTTTGGAGGAAATCACGCGGCATGTTTGTTTTGAGGTTTCCGTTGATTTTGAGGGGAAGTCTCAGGAAACCGTTGTTTCGTATCATTTTTGAGGAGAATGGCGTCTCTCACCCAGCGCTGGTTTTCGCGCCTCATTTTCACTCAGTGTCAGCGTCCCACAAGGATAACATACTTTTTCCACAAGAGTGTCACAGCGTTTGACATATGACATATGCAAATTGCTCACGGGTTCCATTATTTTTGTCCACTCGCACACACACACACATATAAATTAATATATATATATATACAATGCGCAAACGTTTGGCCAGGCTTCTTGGAGGAGGGCCGCAGGAGAACAGGTGGAAAGCTGACTGATGCAGAGCTCCTGTCCGGAACTCATGGCAATGCTTGCGCCGTGCCACAGTTAAGGCGGGCAAAAAGTTGATTTGGACACATCGAAAATGCGACAAGTCAAGTGCGAAAAGGAGTCCTAGTATATACAGGGAACGCATCAGGCTGCACCCACTCTGGCCGTAATTTGTGCCCAATTCCAGGTTTTGCAGGTTTCGTGGAACATCCCGCAAAGTGCCGTTTGTGTTTCTGTGAGGCTGACACTGAAGGATACAGCCCGAAGGAGCTTGTAGGTATACAGACTTGTACCATGTGTTGCTTCCAAACAAGGGGTCGTGATTTGTTGATTTTGCTGCCATTCCAAGGGTGCTACGACCCCAACAATTAAATGTTGCCTGTGTTTTTGAGTGTCGAGTCATGTTCATGTTTGTTGTGTAATCACTATGACTATGCCCTGACCAGCCACCGCCGCCGCACATCTTCAGAAGATTTTCATGCTGAAACAGCCAGAAACAATTTGTGAAACTACCGCTTAGACTACCCTCAGGATCGCAAGATCAGACTCTGGACTGCCTTTGAGCACAGCCAGCTCTGTCCGTGACCACAGACCTTTGCCACTGGAATTGGGCAAGTTCACCAATACCCTTGAGAAAGTCAGCCTTCGGCTCAACAAGGATTTGGCTGCAACATGGTCAGCCAAGGAGGTCCTGGAACTGGCAGAAGCGCATTTGAGCCAGTTTGACGAGCCTTGACAAGCAGCACATGTTTTGTTGCCTCAGGCCTAGGCTAACGAATGAGGGCACTTTTTTCCCTTAATTACTTTTAACACGCTTGACGTGCAAGGCCATCAATTTAGTAATGGCATTGCACCGAGTGGCCAAATGTGGTGACCGGCATGATGTCCAAATTGGCGATCAGAAGCAAGAGATGTTGAGGAAACTGAGCAGCAAGGTGATCGCCACCATCGCTGACCCGCGCCTCGATGTTGGCGCACAATTATAACTTGCTGTTCAACTCAAGTTGTTTGTTACATGACAGTTACCATCGACCTATGATTGATAGACCCCGAGGACCCCTTGAAATGCGCTGAATAATGGAACTAAGGCACCCCAAAATCCTTAGTTAAAAGTTGGGTCATATTTGCCAAGGGTATTGGCCAGGATTTGGAATTGTGGGTATGGAGAGCTCGGAATTGGCAGAAGGGAAATGAAAGGGAATCAGAAGGTTTTATATCTTAGGCGTTATTTAATGCAGCTGATTCCTATTTGATACTAGTTGTGCCCAGCGCGTTCGTGGGGGATACCCTTTGTCTTCGGTCATGGTTGGTTTGATTTCAATATAAAGCTTTGATAAGGGAAGTTTGCCAAGAAAGCACATGGATGCCCCAAATCTGGAAAGCAAAACGCATTCTAGCTCCATTGTGGAGGGTACCGTTGACAGGTTGATTGACACTAGTTTACTTTTTTTTAACAAAGTGTCTTTGAAATATATAGACTCCTACCCAAAGATCTTAGGCCGTTTTGGGATTCCCGTGTGCGTTTTTCGTGCATGCAATCAAGAAAAGGTGAGGCTTCAAAAGAAGCAAACACAAACAACAAACAACATCACAAAAGAATTTAGATAACACATGCTGTTCACGAAGATATTTGGCTTTATCCATGGCACTTACTGTAACTGTATCAACCAGCGCAAGCGGATTTTGGGCGAAGCACTTAGCTTTACTTTGTGCTGTTTGTTAATCATAGGTCGACCTTACATCTAAGAATGCTGATTTTTTTGACAAGTTTGAACTTGGCAAATTGAGGTTTGCAAGGATTGAGGCCAAGGAAGTGACCAAGACCTGTTGGGCTTTCGCTAAGCTGAGCCTTTCACACGATTCCTCGATGGAGCTCCTGGCCCAGAAGGTCATCAGCAGGACCCATGAACTGGATGCGTGCTTGGGCCGAACTGGTTGGGCGGGTATGGTCAGCGCTTTGACCGAGATCAAATTTAGTCTATTAAATATTTGTTTTTGACTCGTTGTTTTTGGGGGCAGAGTGTGTGGCTTGTCTCCTTTGATTCCGTCGCATATGTCTTGGAAGCATTTGAGACCTGTGTCAATGTCATGCTTAAGAATACCAATTCAAAAAAACACTAGCCAGCAATGAGAGCTTGTTTGCTTGCGCCTACAGCAAGCTGAAAGAAGCAAAACCAATTGCTACTGTAACTTGCTAAAGCTATCATCTGGAGCCACTGGGAACATCCTACTCCTGGCCGTGATGCGGTGCTGTCGTTCTTGATAAGGCACAGCTTGTCCAATGCACTGTGGAGCTTTGCAACTGTGCGGCTGCGGGAGGAACCTTTGCTGGAGGCATTGGCCTTCAGTGCTTATGAGCAACTGCGAGAGCTCAAGCCACAGGCACCATCCAAGCTCAGAGCACAGATGGACCTTCAAATGAACCTGAAGAAAAAATCACATTGCAGCTCTTTCGGGCTCTAAACCATCTCGGTCATTGTGCATGCTCGCTCCGTCCGCCGAAGCAATCCTGAACCATTTCTTGACCAGGGCCTGTCCAACACTGCCTGGGCGTTTGCAAAGCTGGACTATTGCAGACTTCCACTGATGCAGGAACCTTGTTCAGAACAAAATCCAAGTTTGTGTTTGCACGTGAAGGCTGCGCCGGCTTGAAGGATGCCCAAGATTCTTATATAGCATGTATATCACATACATACATACATATATATATATATACACATTATTTATTAGGATTTATTAGTTTTGTCCAATTACTGTACCCGTAACACTCAGATAGCAATTATCATTTTTGAACAAGGCATTTACAAACCATCATCATTAATCTCTGTTATTGGTAATAGGATCCCATATTATTTCAACAAATTGAGTTACTATCAAAGTGTTTGCCGGTTTGATGTCACACTGCAAATGAATCTACGAGGGCGTCATGATAGCTTCCCTTTGGGTGCGTCAAATCATTATGTTGAGTACAAGAAAGAAGCGTAGATGTTTGGACTCCAAGACTGGCAGATCTCACCAGATATTTTGAACTTTCTAGGTCCACTCATTGCCCTCAAGTGGCTGATTCGCTGATGATCTGGGTGACCAACGCACGACTCAAGGCCCTTGCGCTTCGAGTGTCACAATGCAGTGGAGACTTTGACCCGCAGGGGCTTGCAAATACGGCCACTTGACATTGGTCGAGTGATGCTGAGTGAACAAGTGCAGCAATTTTGATGGGTGAACAAATGCCGGCCATACAACCACATCAGTCTTGTTCATGAAGTGCACCGCTAGGCCTGGGCCTTTGCTACCATGTCAGTTCGGCATGATGGTCTGATGGCAACTATGGCAAAAGAGATGTTGGCAGGTGCTGCACGCTGGACCTCCCAGAACATGGTCAATTTGGTGTGGGCTTTTGCAAGGTTAAGGACAGGGCTGTGGCCATTGCAGAATCAGTTTGAGGTATTTGATATTGTTTACTGAACGTTATTGCCGTGCTGAACTCCTGAACCACCTGACAGAGAGAGAGAGAGAGAGCGAGAGAGGGAATGTTTTGGGAAAACGAGTTGGCCCCGCCAAAATTGGCCATTTGCTCGAGGATAAAGCACCCAAAGCTTTGTTCAAGCATTTCAGTCGAAGCTCTACAGCTGATGCATACTTGGAAGCCACAAGGCTTAGCGAACCTGCTTTGGGCCTTTGCCAAATTGGAGGCTGGGGTAAGAGCACCAAGTGCCAAGCCTACATTCTAGTCGCCACCAACCCCTGTGCCTTGCAGGCTTCCCCCTTTGGCTGTGGGTGTAGTGGGCACGACAGGATCAAAGTTTGGCTGACGGATTCCTTGCATATCTCAGTGTATGTGTATTTATCACGAAAGCTAGCATGCTAGCTGAGTTCTTCTTTGCTTCAGCAATTTTGTATTGGGACGAGCTTCGTGGCTTAAAGCCTTATATTTCATGCTAAGGGGGGGCCGGCCCCCTCCCATAAGCCATAGCATGATATACCATGGTAATCGACCCTGCCCCTTTGTCCGGTTCGACTCTTAGCTGCGCCTTCTGAGGGGATTTGCGTCATGTTCTTTCTGCCAGCTACTGCTTTAATATTCAACCGCCACTGGAGTGTGCCGTCGGCCTCCATGGCAGAATCCTGTTGGTTGAGCATGTGTAGGTTTGGTGTAAACGGTGGTTGACGTAAGCCGTGGCTTGGTGTAAACGGTGGTTGGCGTAAACCGTGGTTTGGTGTAAACGGTAGGTGGGCTGCTGGCTGCTGCTGCTGGTTGGTGATTCCTGCTGGCTGCTGGCTGCTGCTGCTGCTGCTGCTTTATGTAAGCTCTATACTTGTCGTCCACCTCCATAGCCGCAAGTAAAGTGGTTTCTTATTACTGTATATACCCCCTTGATCCCACTTCATTGAAATCTCGATGGTAAGCTTTGACCTCAACGACCGCAGTGCCGATGAAGAAGCCGCCAGTGTGCTTCGGCTAGCTTTCGGCCTCCTCCCCCCGGCCCCAAGTTTTACACTACGTATTTTGTGCATGTGTTTGTGCAATTCCCGTATTCACGATTTCCATTTGCGCATTAGAGGCCAGTTCTTTCACATGACATTTCAACCATTCTGAGAAGCGCAGGCTCAAGATACGCCACTTCTTCAAGCCTTGGTGGGAGAGGTCACGTTGAACATCCAGGAATTCCAGCCACAGAACCTGGTCAATGCCACTTTTCTGATTAGGGCAGATGAGGGCCTATTTCCTGTGGCTGTGTCACAGCAGGGTGCTCGATGTTCATAATCAACTCACCAGTTTTGCTTGGCTCACTTCCCAGAAAAGTGGGAGGGTTCACAAAATGTTGCTCAAGGAATGGTGGTTCGCCGTTATTCAACCTGTCGTTCGGCAGGTTTTATGGGGAGCTGCAAAGCTGGCCTTCTTGCAGCAGGAGTTTTTGTGGGTTCTAAGCAGTGCCATATGCCAAGAAGCGCCACATTTCAATCCGCCACTTGACCCAATGTTGCTCGCAGTGTTTTCGTGATGTGTGATTGAGATTGGTCAAGGGCGGTTTTCCAGAGGTTGCATGTGCCTGCGAATTGACAATGATTATCACGTTCAGCATTGCCTGCGGGCACGCTCTCATGGACCCCAGGCAGCATTGTTCCAATGCACTTTGGTCCTTCGCTGTTCTGGCCTTCCAGTCTCCTGCGATCAGCATGTTGGCCAAACGGACCGCTTCCAGCTCCAAAGATTTTCAGGCTGCTGATTCTAAAGTTTTTCACATAAATCACAAACCTCGTATTGGTTACCGTTACTTGTTGGCCCAGCAAGCGCTTTCTGTTTTGAGTCTTCTTCATCCAGTGGAGCGCATTGGAGGCGCAGGATTTGGCAAATGTTCTTTGGTCCTGCTGCAAGCTCAGCTATGAAGATCCCGACCTTTTGGAAGCTATGATGGAGGATCCGGCTAAACCTTTGTCCGGCATACCAACATAACATAACCAAATAGTCCGACCTTCACCCTCACTTCGTGGCAAGGCCAAAATGAATCACAAAACGTAAAGCATCAGCTACCTGGGTTCTCCTCGTATCAGTTAGCAAGAGGTTGGACAATGCCAAAAAATATTTTTTCATGCAGCGGTTCTTCATTGAAGAGGGAGTACCCGGGAGTGGATCTACTAGTATTTAGTGTCCAGAAGCATTGTCGGCATCAGGCCGCTGTCAGACCTCACCACATTTGTACATGACATTGACATGGTCAGATGCCCCGCATTTCCTAGTACCCATGAAATGGAGACTAGCTTGCTCCCCAAAGCATTGAAAAAGCATGAACAAGCAGAATCAATCCTTCAGAGGATGAAGCAGCATTCTGCTGCCATGAGGCAGCTAGCAAAGGTAGAGAGGAAGTACTGCAGTGTTGTTCGTTTTCAACTGCTACATTTAAACAGAAATTCGGGTATTTCCAAGAACTCTAGCACGAGCAGGGCAAGCACAATTCGCAGTGTGCTGCAGTTGTCGACAAAGCAACGCAAAGAGGCGGTGTTTGAGCCCCCACACCGTGCAGCTTTTTGTTTACCTTCTTCATACACCTACATAGCGATCATACTACCATGCACATGAAAAAACACACAATTTGACGGCCAGAGCAACGGCAAGAGTGTGATGATGTCCTGGGAGCCCATTTCTCTCTTACATTCTCTTACTCTTAGTCTTGAGCATGTACTCGGGGAACACAGATGAGACGACTTGCATCTATGCCATTTGGGCTGGCTTAATGCTAGCTGCTAGCCTAAACATGTCGCAGGAGGTGATGCAGAAAGCAACAAGCTTTGAGCCACAAAACCTCTCCATTTCTGCTTTTTCGTTGGCGCAGAGACTTGGGCAGAAGGATGTTGCTTTAAAGGTGGTCATTGTCACACCAGTTGGTTCCAGGGCTGCTTGGAAACTTAGACTCGTCAAGCGTTTGTGCCTTCCACCTTGTCGTCGTAACTGTTGACTGAAGGCATATCTACAAAAAAACATGTTGCTTGTGGCAAGGATGAGCATTTCCTCGCGCCCTGTGCTGCGGCAGTTGATGGACACGGCAGCTAGTCGCTGGTCCGAGTTCGATGGTCAGGGCCTGGCCAACCTGGCACAAGCCATGGCCAAGACACAGGTGGTGCATGAGCCTTGGAGCAATGGCCCCAAGGTGCAGAGGCTACAATGCGTTTGGCAAGAGTTCTGGAGGTGCCGAGAGAGACTCGTGCTTTTGGGCACATTTGGATGGATGATATCGGTTTTGATCATTTGACTGAAACTCAGGAGCCACTACTGGGCAGGTTGCTGCAAGAGGCAGACGATGGCGGTGCCAAATGCAGCCGGCAAGAACTGTCGATCCTGTCATGGTCTTTTGTCAAGCTCTCAAGGGCTCAAGAATCAGTGATGACGTCTGAGAAAAACAGTGGAAAAAAAGGCGTGAGCTTTAGTCTTGGAGAACATTCGGGCATAGGACAAGAGCACACCAAGACTCGACAGTAATATTATTTATTGTCATTTAAGGAGTTTAATGCAGAAAGGATGCAGAAAGGGCTAGTGCTGCGAAGAACATGCTGGTCTCACGATGGATTATGGCACTTGGATGTCCATCAACATGTACGAATAACGACACACCTGTTTCCATAAACTACATGCTTGGCTTGTTCTCTGAGAATGAGATGCGGGAATTGTTGCCACTTGTGGAGCGGCTTGAGTGGACAGACGTCAGGCGAAAGACGAAGCGATCAACCTTTGGAGGAACGTCAAAGCAGTGACTTTGCGGCAACAAAAATGTTCTTTATCGCAGCATGAATCAGCAAATCTGCGCACAAGACAATACAGGATATATAATATATAATAGATTTACGTTTATATACTGCTATACTTCAAAGTCACCGTCTAGTTTATGTTTGTGGCGGTGCTTTGTTTCCAAGCGGCAAGTTCTGAAAGTATTTGAAAGCATCGAGGCCCAAACGGTCACATTCTCGCACCTTTTGAGGGTTTAGAGTCTAGCTGTGTGAGAGGGGTCATATTCTGCCTTCAACCCGGAACCCTGGACAAATTAAGCTCCACATCAAACCTTTCGGTTGATTTGGAGTGCTCGCTTGAGGAGAAGAAGTCGCACCTCAATCAGCAAGCAGTGATACACTCTTCTGGATGGGAATTGGCTCAGACTGAAGCATGATCAGGATGATTCTCCCCCTCCCTGAGTTTGATCTCAATTCATTGCGCTCGTCACCCAGGGACATCGTCAAGACCGTGGAGCACAATTGCGGAAACCTTCCAATCTCGCTTATACGCTTCTTCTTGGATCAAGAGAAAAAGAGAGATATTCTCATGAAAAGTGCTGCTGAGGTCATGGGCAGGCGCAAGTGTGGATAGGGAATTTCAGGTAAGGTACAGGTGCTTGGGCCAGCATGTTTACACAAGGCGATCGGCTGTGCATCGAAACACTTGCAATGATATGATAGATATGCAATGACTATTTTTAAATGCAATTTGGCTGATTGATTCTAAATACTCGTTGTTGACCCGAATTGGCTGTCTTGCTTCCTGGGGGCAAATCAGATTTTAGCAATATCGCAGTTTAGAGGTGAATGGGAAGGTCCTTCTTGCGGAGGAGAAGAGGGGGCTCACTTTTGTCACAAAATTGGCAAAGCGTTTGAAGAAGCTTAAGTCAACCAATCATTACCTGGGAGCAGAGTCCGGGGAACAACCACAGTAAGAAGACTGTTTTTGAGAGGAAGACAACATTGAAAGCATGTTCCAGAAAACAAAACTCGTAGCAGTCCTTTTTGGCACGCGTCAGGCTCGAAGATCCTTTGGTTTGCATTTGGTGGCGCAAAGACTCAAAGGTAGAAGTTCGTTTCCTACGAGGTGGCGTCGCGTGGATCGAGCGCCCTCCGCATTGGATCAGAAAGGCGGGCCCATCACATCGTGGGAGTATTACAGGCCTTCGTCCTTCGTTGATTTGATTAGGAGCTTCAAAGGCAAAAATGACTTGGAAGATCTTGGAAGCACTGGCAGTTGGAAAGCCTTTTTGCTCATAGCAGCCGTTCCAACTCAGAATGGTGCCTTTGCCTCAGGCACTTGAAAAGAAGAGCATCAGGGAAGAAGCAACTGAGCTGCAACGACTGGTCCGGAGCAAGAGGGTTCAATGCAGCAGGACAGGCCCTCAAAATCAACTGTGCTTTTGATACCTTAATTTATGGTGGAGTAGTGGGGCTTGACTCTGTGGACCATTTTGTGCAGCTTCAGGCAGCTTCAAATGGCAATGCTAGTAGGCTGAGAAAAGCCAAGGTGCAACGCTCCATGCAGAACCACTATCGGCTTGAGTGGAAGAGGATTCGATGCTCGGCGAGAAGCGAGGTCCTGCAGGAGGTTTGGATTCGATGAAGTATTGCTTCGTTCTCTCCTCCGAATTTGAACCGTTCAGACTAAAATTGGATAGTTGATGAGATTTGATGTGGATAATGTAGAGGCAGAACCGAGCTTTGCAATAGGTTGCTTTGTGCATGTCACTCCAATTCCTTTTGAATCCTTTTGATGCTGTTTCTTTCCCCGATGCAAATTCAAAGAGCACCTGAAGACTCAAGACTGTGATGTTTTTTTTTCAATCTTTCCGAGGGGAATTCTCCGCATACAACTTCCGGTCCCCGACTGTAAGTTGACCGTAGGCATTTATTCGTTGTACAGTTTTAAACCAGTCTGAAGCAACAGGCAAGATTTTGAAGCGTTTTCATGGGCTTGTCCTTACGACGAAGACTTGTACCCCCTTAGAAGTGATGAAGCTGAACTCTAAAGGATCCTAGAAATGACTCCGGCTACCTCCTACGGTTTGCTGTCACTAAGGAACTGTGAATGTCCAGGGCGACTGGGACCCTGCAAGCTCTCTCGCGACCAAGAGAGCAGCACGGACAAAAGACACTGAAGCAGAGCCCGCAGAAGCAGAGGCTGCAGAAGCAGAAGCAGAGGAGCCCGCAGGCGCAACCAACTAGGTCTGGAATTGTTTCTGTGGTTCTGTGGACAATTCTGTGTCTCATTCCGACGCTTTTTGTTGCAGGCGTAGATGAGGCGGTTGAAGAGCGAGACAGGGAAGAAGAGGTTGACAATGCAGGCAGCCAACAAGTTGTTTCTAATTTTTTGCTGTCGGCCTTCAAGCCGCAAGCCTGCTTTCTAGCATGCGCAGATTCCGCTGTGAGTCGACCGGCTGACAACTACAAGACAACCTCACGAGTACCGCAGTCCGCTGCCGCCAGGGGCCACCGGCGAAGCTTTCAACGAAATGTCTATGGGACCCAGCACTGAGGTGGAGCAAAACCAGCTGACGCCAGAGGAAAAAGAGGAGGCTTCTGGGAAGTCTGGGAGGTATAAGACAATGGCAAAGTCTTGGATTCCGAGTATGTCCCTATTTAATCCTATTTAGTTAATATTTTCAAGCCAGAGCCGCCACGATGGCGGTGGTTTGCTCTTTGTTTAGTATTCCATATTATTCCACTGTTTCAGAGGGGGTGTTGCAAATAGAGACGGTCTCTTCAAAAAGAGCCTGCCTTCGACCGGCGAGTCGACGAGGTGAAATGCTGCTTTATCACATTTGTTTATCATTTATCACTGCACCTTCATTGCTGCAGATCCTGGCGAAGAAGACCAAAAAAGCTACCATGCACACGATTTGGAAAAGCTGGAACGACGAAGTGCAGGAAGCAAAGCGGGAAGTGTCATCAGAAGAGCAAGAGCACATCAACGCCAGAGAATCTATGTTTGGCTTCTTGAACTCAAACTTTCTGCAAAACAGAGCAGAATATATATAGTTGTTTGTCCAAATATGCCTGCAGATTCTTGTGACTTTCAGAATGTCCCCATGAACTGATGCAAATATATTGCATACACACAAATATATATATATAGCTAATATAAGTTAATCTTATGTCCAAAGCTCCGCAAAATCCATCAAGGTGAGATGAATTTGACAGCAATTCAGCGGATCAGGCGCATCTTTGCAAGATGGTGAGGTTTTTTGGTTCCTAGATGTTTTGTGTCAGACTCAATGTGCGAGGCACTCCCTCATGGTGCTGAGATCTCAAAGCATGGCTTGATCATTGATTTGGCTTCCATTGTTTTTAGCTGGGGAAAACGGAGGGGTTGAGATTATATATATGTATATACACAATTTATATTATACTGTATACGTATGTACATTCATATGTTCAAACTGTCAACAATGTACTAAGTTGATTAATGCAATATTCAACGTACGCCGAGATGAGAGATCAGCGGTGTTTCATGGTTTTTTACTTGAAGAAGTACTTCGGCCAAATGTGCAGGTACCGTGCGTCTATTTTGCCAATCCGTCGGCGCTATGCAGAGGAGATGACTTGCCGAGAACATTCTCGGAACATATGATGTCCACTTTGCAGGGCACCCTTGCTAAGCAGAAGCAAGGGAAGGCTTCTCACCCCAATGTGTATTACTGTATTCCTTTGTCGTCTTCATCCGAGCAGGAGCAAGAAAGGCTTCAACAGTTGAAAAAGCGCCTGAATGACCACGATGTGGGGAACATTGAAGAAGGCCTGGCAATGTGCATGCCCAACTTCTCAAGCCACCAACGTTATTTTGGGAGTGTCTAGGGCAAGGCTGGTTGCCAGATGCATACATTCAATTGCCACATGTGCTACTTTGACTCTCACCAAGGTGAATTAATTACTGTGAATGTATGTTTGTTTCAAAATTGTTGATCAACTTTTCGTTTTGACCTGGTCAGGACTGACAGACGAGCAAAAGAAGGAGCTGATTAACAAAGCCCTCACCGGTGTCGGTAAGTTGATCAAAAATTCAGAGGACCGAAAGGGGGGAAGCGTTGCAATAGCTGATAGTGTTGATTGCAAACCTGGGCTGTGTTTGCGCTCAAAGGTGTTTTTCCTCAAACATCAGGTGTGTCCTTCCCTGCCCGTATTCGGATGTATTCGGTTGTCATATATAGTTGAGCGACGTCATATGTGTGGTCATATTCGTCATGCTGGACCAAGTGCCGGGGATTTGGAATGGGGTTTGGCACTTTGGGCAGGACTTTCTCAAGCTCGAAGTCAACAAAGACGTGCTTGGAAGCAATGCAGATCCCAGAAAGGACAAGACGACAACAGCAGAAAGGAGAGCAGTCTCCTTTTGGTTGGGCCGAAAGAAGATTTTTGGCTTGGCGTATCATGAACGCCCGACCTTCGTTGCAAAGCTGCAATTCAGAGTTTGGTCGTAAAAATTAATTATTCCGACAAGAGACCCCAAACAGTGTGGAGTGTGTATCATACGCAGTCATCACAGAAAGTGGTAGCAGGAGGAGATGAAGCACCCGCGAGCACGAAGTAGAAGGTGAGGTGCAAATTCGAACAGACAATTCGAACAGAAAACTGAAATATCCGAAGAAAGAGAACATCATTGTCCAAGGCGGAGAGGTCCAATGTCAAAGTACAAATTGAAAGGCAGCAGTCGTCAAGCGCACTTTTTTTCCTTGAGTAGAGCAGGCAGGAGCACAATGTGTCGCGGAGTCGCAGACAGAGCATAGAAATGCTCACAGGAGACACCGTGGTTCTTCCACTGCGTCGCGGAATCGCAGAGCGACAGTGAGCGCGTGAGAGTGAGTGAGAGTGTGACAGTGAATGCGGGCGTGAGTGAAAGGAAGAATGCTTGTGAATGAGAGGGGGTGTGGGCGTTATGAGTGCGAATGAGAGAGCAGAAGACCAAGGAGAGCGCACGTCTCAGAACACAGTCATGAGAGCACACATCAAGGTAGTGAATGAGTGAGTGAGTGAGTGAGTTGCGCTACAGTGCCGAGCGCACCTGGGTGGAACCACGCCAGGAGACAGAGAGCACAGACCTGCAAGCTATACGATCAGTGTGAGTGTTGCTCACAGTGACCAGCCTGCGCAGTCGAATCGAAGTGCACATGGGGGACGACGAGAGCCAGGAATGTACTGTAAATAGCAGCGAATCAGCCGCACACGCCCGCGCGCTTCAGCGATCTAAGCATCAGCTGCCTTTCCCTTACCATAAGAACCCCTCAGTGTGCCCACACTGTTTGGGGAATAATCCTACTCCAGACACGGGTCAGTCAGCATTTCGCATTACAGTAGCTGCTACGTTTCAGCTTGCTGTTGCAGGGTGACTTTTGGGTTGGGGGGTCTCGGGTTTCTAGATTGGGGCAAAGGTTCATGGACAGATTGCATCCTGAAAGATCCTCTATCAAGAGGTTCAACACTATAGGGCAGGTATGAACCCTTGGAAATCTTGATCCTGTGCCCTGCTGCTTTCGCTGAATCCAGCTAGGCAACTTGACATCTAAGGAGTACAAAGAGAACATGCATCAGTCTTGCTTGCCAACACTTTTGCGCCGCCTGGGTTTGGAGGAATATTTGTACCCAGCCTGGGTGCCAAGTGGAACTGCATGTTACTAGAGCGTGTCTTGGAAAACTGCGCCGTGGTTTGGTTGTTTGGTTGCTCAAGAGGGGCAATTGTGTACAAACTCAGATATTTCAGAAACTGGGAATGTAAAACACGCAAGATCTAGCAATTCTTGAAGACCATTTTTGAAGCTCAACGTGGCTCGCATTTTCTGGCTACTTGTAGGCCCAAGGCCATCAAAAATACCGAATTTCCGCCAGGCTTGGGTCATGGAACAGTTGCAGCGGCGTCTCTCCATGGCAAGATCTTCTCTAGCTAGCTCTGGACCAGAAGCCTTAGACTACAGAGGCGGCCACAGAGACACTCGAGCGAGTGGCGATCAATCCGCCTAGCACGCTCCAGTAGTAGTTTTGTCCAGCACATGCATTACTGATACTAACAACCGTCCACGATGAACAGCCTCAGTTATACCAGCATAGACGACCCCAAACAGTTTCAAAACGATTCGTTTGGACCAATTTTAGTCAAAAACGATTTCTTTGTACGCCCTACCTTCCTTCCCCCCAAGAGCAAACTACTTTATCAATGATTTTTGTCGGCATCGAGATCGCTAATTGTTCGGCCACAACAGAAGACAAGAGAAAAGCAGGACAAGAGGAGGACAAGACCCGGCCACAGAGTTCAGGGGCACGGCCAGTCAGTGTTTCCAGCTCTTTTTCCTAAGATAGAGCCCCAACAGTAATAGTAAACTTTTTAAGGAAAACGGAGTTGGGAGCTTCTGCTACACGATTAGTAATAAGATGTAAGAAGACACTTTTCTGCGTGCCACCCGAAAACCGCCCGTGCGACTACAAAGATGTGTCAGAAGAGGTGTCTCCAATTGAGGCTTCGTCCGAACCAAAACCTAGAGCTGCGGAAGGCTGCGTATATAAGCAAGTTTTACATTGCGACCGCACAGGGGGCCACGCTAAATCTCCGGACCCAGTTGACCCAGTTGACCCGGTTGACCCAGTTGATCCGGAGATTTAGCGTAGCCACCGGGTCAACTGGGCCCACCGCCACCACCACTACTACTGCTACTGACCTCAACTGGGTCAACTGGGTCCGGAGAATTCGCGTAGCCACCGGGTCAACTGGGCCCACCGCCACCACCACCGACGACGACTACTACTACCACCACCACTGGGTCAACTTGGGCCAACTGGGGTCAACTGGGTCAACCGGGTCAACTGGGTCAACTGGGACACCCTGTTCAACTGGGTCAACTGGGACCACAGATTCAGCGGCCCCCTGTGCCGACGCACTCAAGTTTTAAGTGCAGGCCTTGCACCGTGAAATGAGACACTTGTTGAAGTGCACAAGTTGTCCGCGCAAGCTGGAATTGTTTTACCGTGCACATCTTGAAGGAAGCCTTGCATGAGCCTATCTTGGAAAAATGCCAAATGAACGAAAATAGATCCCATTTGGATGGGCGAACTTGCGGAGGAGCTCCCACACCATCCCTTGCCCACTGGTGGGGCGGGTATAGTAGGTCATAGGTGGTAGTGTTGGTCAGTCGTGAAATTTTTGGAGGTTCCTAACTATGTACACTACGAACGAAGAGGTACGAATGCATGGAGGGTAAAAGCACAAGACGAAAAAAATGGTGACCGCAAGACGAGAGACCAAAGGCAAGCATCAAATTGTGTCGCAGAGTCTTGTAAAGAGCCAAGAGACCAAAATCAGCGAATTCGAAATCAGGTGTTACCTAATTCAGGTCAGGATGCACAAAGGTGTCCAAGTCTTTCTTAGTGCGGAGTGCATATCGGACACGAATCTGAAATTGTTTTTGCTTATCAGGATTAGCTTCTTGCCAATTTGGCCACTCTTTGATGTTGAAGGTCTTTGGATGCAGAACTCCATTGAAATTTTATAGATTTCCATTGAGATTTGATGAATTTAAGTAATGAGTCCTTTTATTTCTATTCATTTTTAGTATTGCCAGAGATAGCTAAGTAATGATTCCTTTCATTTTAGTATTGCCAGAGTAGCTTCAGAGGTAGCTAGCTAAGGATTCATTATTTATTTATCAAATGATTGTTTTTCTATCATATTGTTCTGGAGTCTCAATTGTTGATAGGGGGGGAGACCCCGGGGGGGGTTATTAATCAAGAGACTATATTAATTTTCGATAGACGGGACTGGTACATTTGTATCCCATTTGGATCGTGTCAGCGTTGCGTAAGGCTTGGCGTAAGGGCATTGATTGATGCAACTTGAGGATGCAACCGGCAGCATTCCCCATCCCGACTCCCGTTGTGCAGGTGCCCCAATCCTGTGGGGCCGCCGCCGGGTTTGGGACTCCAGAGCTCGAAACCACAACCTGGAGACTCGTGAGAAGGCCGGCACTTTAATGACATTGAAACTGACACATATTGAAACTTAATTTTTTTAACCTGCAGCATAATGAGTTCGTTGCCTCTCCTGCCGTGTTGATCATGGTAGTTCTTGTGGCACTAGCGTGACACTGGTTTAGCATGGTTTAGCTTTTCGCTTTGACCCGCCCTCCCCAACATGTAGTAGGTGCATGTAGGTATTTTACACACGCGGCGCAAACTTATTAAATGTCATGTCGGGACCACCACTTGCAATATTTAGAGCCTGAGTTTGGATTGCTTAGGATCTAATTCACTGACACGGACCTGGGTAAAATAGAACATTGAATGCGCATGGAGTTAGGATATGCTGGAGCAGTCGTTGAATCAACACCTAATCAGACCATAGCACAAATGCAAACCTAGTGGCTTTCCTAGCGACACTCACCGATTTTCTTGCGAGCGGCTAGCCAAACACGCACGGACTACGTGAATCATCAACCAACTTTACTAAGCCACACATGCACTACTTTTTGGCATCCCATCACTTAAAGATTCTACGGCGATCGCTGTTTGTTTACAGGTCTATTTTTCTAAGTGCATTGTGGTAAATTCTAAGGGCATCGAGGAGTTGAATTACATGTCCGTTATCTAACTGCATTCTTGTTCGTTATCTAACTAGATACATTCCTCAATTCCTCATTCCTTATGTTGAATTCTATCTGCTCGTCTGGGATAGTACTTTTGCGGAAGGCAGCACACTGAGCGCCAAGACTTAAAGCGGCTCAACACTTTACGGGGAGGCTCCCGAATGAAGACATCCAAAGACTGCTTCGCGATGCTCCAGGCAGTGCTCCTGCTGTCCCAGATAGAGGAGGCACTCACTGCAGCCCAATCAATTCACTCGGAAGATCCCGGTGCGAAGGAGCCGTCAATTGTAGTCATCACTGTTCGAAAAGTCTGTCGTTGGCAAGCACAATAGCACGACCATGGATCCACCGCATTCTGGGTTTAATGCTGTCCAGGATGTTGATCCAGAACAGCCCGATGAAGAGGACGAAGAAGCCACTTCAGAAATTGGAGAGCGGGCTGAGGCTGCTCCAGAGTGTGAGAGGACTGTTCACTTGAGCAGTTCACAATGCAATGCATTGCAGAGGCCAACCTATCAAGGGTTCAGGTCTGTGAGTTCACTGGATCAAGCATTCCATTCTAGCTGGCTTTGGGCAGGTGGTTAAGTACCTGGTTGGGGTTGTTTCCTATTTCATTATTGAGAACCATATATCTGCAATTCTTGAATGCATTTTCAATGAGTGTGCTAGGGCGCGGCTAAGACATAGGTGAACGCGTCATTTTCTTCACCATACTTTGAATGTGCGGCAACAAACATCGCAATGCTTGGTTGGACGTATAGTAGAGTTGACACACTGATACATAGATTGATGTTGGAATCGGACATTCTCAACATGGTTGCACACAGTTCACTCTACAAGGCCTTCAAATATACAATCACTGAAGGAGGGAGATGGGCTCAAGGTTCCAGATTTGCACCGCGTCAATCCGATTCCAATGGTTCCCCAATGAGCTCTCAAACCTCTCAGACACAATAGAAGCCGCAGGCCACAAACCAACCAGAAGATGTGGAAGACATCAGTCCAGAGGAGAAGGAGTCAAGCTGAATGAAATGCTGAAAGAATGATCGGCCGACTCAAAGTGCACCACATATCAGTTGCTGTTGCCTACTCCAGTGCAGGATGTTGAGCCAGCATTGCGCCGCGACACACAGAAGGAGGCTGACCATGAAGAAACCGCCAAGGCAGCTGAGGCTTCCATGAAGGTGAGCTGGATGAACATGCTGAAAGAAAGGCCAACTCATAGCACAAATGCCGCCAAAACATATCAGTTGTTGTTGCCTGTTCCTGCGCAGGATGCTGAGCCAGCATTGCACCGCGATACAAAGAAGGAGGCTGACCATGAAG